GCGATCATTCCCGCGGTGGTTGGTATTGGGGTTATTGCGTTCTTCCTATGGAAGGTAAGTATATATGGCAATCAGCGAATGCCGGACGTGCACGAGGTTTATACCTCAGAACATCCCAACCGGCTCCCATATATGATCGTTCGAACACAAATGTACTCCTACACGCGCGTTCATTCCTTTTATCGTACCGTCCTCACCTTCCCCACTCACCCCCTTTTTCTGCTTAGTATTTTGCGTACCTCGGCACAAAACGACGACGACCGTATCGAACCGTTCGTGACGTGCCGTCACCGCCACTCGACGCAGACATATTGCAACATCTACAACGCGGCGAACTACCGCCACCCGATTACGGGTACACGATGAGTAGGGATAGGCGGCACGATAGATTCGCCGAACGACGACGACGTCATCCACGCGTGCATAAGCGCACCATCATCGAGCTACATCTAGAAGTGCTCAACGAATGTGAAGCGACAGATTGGGAAAACGTCAAAGACGACTATTTGCAGATTGTCGTGCAGCAGTTTGCGCAGGATTTGATGCGGGACGATGACAGGAATAACAATATCTTGGGTGTCTCTACCTCAAACCATGGTTTATCAGGGAGCAATGCTTCCTCCACCCTGGATCCACCCATTGACTCAGCACCATATCCATGTCCAGTTGATGAAGATGGTCCATGGAGTTGTATGGAATCCATACAGTTAGAAACGGACCCTTGTCCACCGAATGACGCGGACCCCGATCCATGGAGTTGTATGGAAACTATACAGTTAGCAACGGACCCTTGTGCACCTAATGACTGCGATCCATGGAGTTGTATGGAAACCATACAGTTCGATGCACACCACAGTCGTGCTCATTCCCACCCTGGGGACGCGACGTCGGAGTGCACACAATGGATTAACTGGATTGACCGCAGCAAACATATTCTGCGGGAGTGCACGACGCAGCCGTGGTTTTTGCAATTAAAAGCGGATTGGAAACAATACCTGCGTCAGCACATGGCGGCAAACGAAGACAACGTAGTATCCGGGCAGCGTGAGTTCGGTGAAGTGGCAACCCTGCAC